CTACTACTACGACGACGACGACGATACGACGACGACGACTACTACTACTACTACTACTAGTATGTAGTAACGGTCTGTTTGTCTTGCCTGACCTAGAAAGGCATCATGGCTCTCCTTTCTTTTGTGCATGCTGCACCCTTTGGGACAGTTTCTGATGGCCTCCAGTTTTTACTGCTGATGGACTAAACCCTGCACTATCCAGAATAAGAGACGAAGATACCCGGATTAACCCACACAGCGAAGGATACTTAACGCCGTCCAGGACAGCTAATCCTTCACTGCACCTGTGTCATGACACCCAGCTGTTCGGGCAGGAGCACAAGCCCGTGACGCTCTGGATGTCTCAGGGCATGTCCAAGCAAGCCTGGCTCGTGCGTTGTCGTATTGCTGCAACTGCTGTTCTTGCTAAGTCTCGCTGCTATGATGGTTTTGCCGCTAGGCTCAGCGTTGCTACTTTGTCGCTTCGCTGGTTCCTAGAACCCGAAGGCGGAAATCTGAATCATAGATGCCTCAACTCTAAAAGCGCAGATGTTAAGCCTGCTAAACTCCTGCCGCCCTGTGGCGGTGAGTTAGAGGGAATCTTGGAAAGGGGCCTGGGGCATGGGTACTAACCCGGATACGCCAGGTTTCAGCATCCAGAAATGCCATACCATCGGCGCAACAGACTACGTTTCCACCCATGAGAACTCCATTCAGGGTTTCAGCTTGAAGCCGTCTCTCAGCTTTCAGGAACAGGGGTCTAGAATTCGTTTAGCTCTTCAGAAAATGCGCGAGAAGTGCGGCGAAAGTCCATTCAACAAGCCAAAGCCTAAACCCCTAAATTCTAATTCCCAAACCCCAAATTGCAAACCTTCTCGCGCAAACTCCACCTACCGTGGATCCCTGTGCGCAAGGTTTTTGAGTCCAGATCCAGTTCTACTTTCGTGCATCGGGGGCTTGGGGTTGTAGAATTTCGCCTGGCAGTTTCGCGTAGAAGGAGCGTTGCCTGGATTTTTAATTACTCGTGTTTGGGGAAAAACCCTGGACCCCACATAGGCTCTAGGCTTTGCGGGTGTAGACTTCAATGCCCCAACTCCTTACCCCCTGAAACTTACCCTAAACCCTAAACCCTAAAAATAAAACACTAACCAGGCAGGTGGAAAAGAGGTGTCAAAAATAAATAAACCCTGCCAGGATCACGGAGCTGTCCTTGGACACGACTGCAGCGGTGAGGATCGACGTGGGATGCCCAGATCGGAAGTCCACTACTGGGGGAGTTTCAGGAATTCGGATGACTTTTTTTAGAGGGGGGGGCGGGTCCATATGATGTAGGGGCCTCAATAATTACCTATATTTTTTTTGGGGGGGGTTCCTTATTATAATTACAGTATAATGGACCCCCAAAGCCCTATTCTAATTATTAAGGCCCGTACATGACGAAGGATTCCATGGTTCTGGGACTAATTTTGGGGCTCAGCATTTGCTAAAGCATGTCGAGCCTCAATAGAGATGGCAATACGAATACGCGTGCATGAGCCTATACCTGTTAATCATGCCTTAAAACGACCTCATTAAGACATGCAGTCCTAGACGAGCAGTGTTCAGGGTTCAGGGTTAAGCATACACCTCTTACCCTGAACAGTATTAGATGAGTCCTTCTGATGTTCTGCAGCAGGTCAGCGTGCAGCCGCCCTTCCTGCCCTTGGAAATCGAACTCAGGCCTCGGTCTAATCATCGCTTTCTAAGGGCACAGGGGCAAACGAGGCAAAGCTTTACAGAAGCTTGTTTATGTATGTATGATGTACGGCATACATGGATACATACATGCACACACACACACACATTCCTTTTGGCATTGATGTCTAGTTTATTTGCATGTTTGTAGGAACTCCTCCCACCCCCCCGGCCCTCGCACCCAAAGGTTTAGGTCAGGATTTCGGCTTTGGGATGCACCGCCTAGACTTCCCCCTGGGATTGGCCAATCTTTCGGCGGGTTTGGGTTTCGTCTTGGGGGCTTTAGGGGTTAAGGCTTAGGGTTTAGGGTTTAGGGATTGCCACACTGAGCAGAGTCCCAGAATCCTTGGCGAGACTCGATGCACGGCGCACGGTACGAGAAGGTTGTCTTGACTGTTAAGCGGCGCGGTCGGGGTCGGCTGGGGTTTAAACACCTGTGTTTTTCCGTTAGGGTTCCTACTTGTATGTATCCTACACAAAAGCCCAAACCCTATTCAAATTCGAAGATCCCTACAGTAATATAGAAGCCTGAATAATTCCCTATATTATTTTGGGGGTTCCTTATTGTAAGTATACTATAAGATACCCCAAACCTAGTTCTGTTTAGTTCCGTGAAGGGCAGCCTTGGGTCAGGTGTTTTGTTTTCGAGGCCTGGACCCTCTCAAGAAGTGCCTATGGTCTCCATTGTAGTTCCTTTTTTTGGTTCAACCAATTATATATTTGGGATCCTATAAGGTAACTCCCAAAAGGAACTGCAATGGAGACTATAGGTGGTTTTGTGTGTGGCACTACCAGCTTCGGTAGGCTTTCAATCTCTAGTTTCTCTACCGGTTTGAGTGGTTCTGTAGTTGGATTCTGTAAGGATTCCTTACGTTTTCTACAAAATGGGCTGGCTGGACGTCATTCCTTGAACTTGCCGGCCTCGGCCTGCCACACTGCCCACCCCAGTTTCCATTCTGCAGGAAGAAGAGAAGTATGGGCACGAAACTCAGAAGTCTTAGTAGTAGGGCTTATCAAGTCAACCTAGGTGTTGGTCGGTGGGTTAGGTATAGTAGCCTAAATCCTAAGCCCTAACTTTGATGGATTTCTTTAGTTAAGGGTATCCCTGATAGCCCGTGTAACTTTATACTATGCCCTAACTTTAATGGGTTTCTTTAGTTGAGGGTATCCCTGATAGCCCGTGTAGCATTATATTATACCCTAACGCCTCGTTTGAGCTAATCGAGTTTGGGGCTCGTTTCTCGTGGCTCGAGAAGACTTCGAATGGTTTCAGGGTTGTTTTAAAAGATCTTGGGGATTTGGCTTTGCAGGGCTGCGACGCCGGGTGTAGCGTTTAGAGTACAGGTTCAGGTTTAGGTGTTGCGGTTGAGGGCTAAGGATTTCCAGCCTAGGGTATGAAGTATAGGGTTCTTAGAGATTTAGGCCCACTGGCATTGAGCTGAGTGGGTTCGAGAGCAGGTGTGGGCTTCGAAGGTGTGCCCCGGGCGTGCACTTCAATTCGGTGTGAAGACCTTACAAGCTGTATACCCCTAAACCCTAAACGCTACAAGCCCTATAAACAGCTTACAGAAATTCCTGGGGGGGATGCACGAACTTGCGTCAGCCGCGACCAAGATGAATGGAGGGGTCTGAGAGACTAGAGTAAGGTTTGGGGGATATATCACAGTATGATATCACAGTGAACCCTAAGGAATATTGTTTGCAACATTGATTAGTAACTAGTCCAGCTTCTATACCTTCACTATGTTGACAAAGGTGTGGCTGATTCCGAGTAGACGGTGGAGTTTTCTGCGCATATACAGAAGGACCCGTACAACGACTTGGGTTTGAGCCCTGACAGACAAGAGCTCTACATATCAGTCTATCCAAACCCAAATCGCCGGAATCCCTAAGCCCTCACACCGGTATTGTTACTGTTATAATTTCTAACACTAAAAATATTTTCACAACTGTTCATATTTAGGCAATTATTATTTTTATTAAACTAAACTCCCATCGTCGGAACCCTGGGCCCCAGACCCAAATGCTCAACCACCGCCACGCAAGCCCGGGTGTAGGCTCTGGATCTGCATCCCTTGATCGCTGTAAAGAGGTCGGCAGTTTTGTTTTCTGATTAAGGGGCTTGAATAATTACCTATATTATTTAGGGGGGTCCTTCTTATTTGTATAGTATGATAATAAAACACCCCCACACCCGATTCTAATAATTAAATCCCCTACAGTAGGTTTTACCAGCGATGTGAAGGTCCGAGAGTCACCCTAAGCCCTGAACCGTACTGTTGAGGAGCCTGCGATCCAGGAACATGCGCTGTGAGATTGACGGAAGCCTCCAGAAACCTGACAGTGTTTTTGGAGGAACTTTCTGAACATCCTGGACCGTGGGATCGTTTCTTCAGAAGTTTTTGGTAGTGCCAGGAACGCCTCGATCTCGCTGGCAGCACTCGCGAGTGGGATGGACTGCATGCCGGCCAATCGACACCGGACAGCGATGAGAAGCGAAAGACGCTGTTTTTCATGGGAGCCAGATCAAGGCCTTTTTTCCACCGTGCCAGCCTGAACAAAGTGAACGCAGATCCCCTTGCAAATTCTAGGCCTCAAAGCTTAACAAAAGATTTCAAACCCTCAAATACTACACTCTCCAGCCCTCAACTTTGGAGTGTGCTAGAGCCATCAATGGAAGTGAAACCCTAGAGCCAGAACAGCGTATGGTCCCCAGGCCCTCCATCTCACTCTCAACTAGCCACACCTCGGCCCAGAAAAGCTCGAAGCACCGGTGGCCACGGCACAGTGGAGCTGCTGGCACGCTTAGGGCTTGGAGTTTAGGGCCGTTTAGGGGTTTAAGGAGCCCACAGCCGGTCCAGTCGGCGGACGAGCATGTAAGCCGACAATGAAACACTGCACCCTCGAATCGCAATGTAGCTCCGAGCCCCATGAACCCTTTCCACCATGAAGGACTACTCAAAGCTGCTACGGGCTCTATGCTATGACTACGTATGGTCTTTAAAGAAAGCAATGGAGAACAGTGCTCTACTTGAAACCCTTTCATCTCCTATGCCAGGACAGAGCATCGACTCCTCTTGATGTACAGCGACCTTCCACCGGGCGAGTGCGCACCCGCAGACCAAAACGGCTGGGCTTCCTTTCGCTCCGAGATCCGAACCAGGTCTGTCGGAATGTCGTGCGCCTTCAAAGCCGTGGGTTGAAAAATTGGGGGTCTGACTAGTTTGCAACAAGACTCCCTAACAACCCCTATATACTAGCTCTAGTATAGTTGTATAGTATATCCAAACATTAGGGACTCGTTGAATTCCAAGCCGATTGCATTTCCGCGCCCTCCTCCCTAAACCCCAAAACCCTAAACCTGCTGCCCGAGGTACCAAGTGAAGTTCCTGCAGCCCAGGGATTACATGGCCTTTTCCAACCAGGCGAAGCAGGCAGGAACCTGAAGAGCTGAACGGAGAATAGGGTTTGGAGGTATAGTATACTGAAGCGATAACAAGAAACCTCCGCAACCGTATTCTAATTATTAAGGCCCCTACATTCGGTTAAGGCTTTAGGGGTTTATGGGGGTTTAGGGAGGGGCCTTGATAATTAGAATGTTTTGGGCAGAGGCATATTATGTTGTAATTATTAGGGTTTTAGGGTACACAGTAGGGTCGACTACTGCGAGTAAGGGTGATAGCTGGAAGTAGTCTGAGTGGGTCTCCCGCACAACGATGTTGACAAGAGGTTTATGACACGATCTAATAGGTATAGTAGGAGAGGAGTGGGACAAAGTGCGACTGTTGCCGGGCATCTTCAGCATACAAGCCGAAATACTTACCAATGTCGTCCCTGAGGGTTCCTAAGTAGGACTGTACTATAGTTTACCCCGAAACCTTATTCTGATGATCAAGGCTCAACATTATCGATCATTCAAGCTTCGTTCATCGTCGCTGCACAGAAGTACTTCTTACCTCTCGGAACGTCTGGTCCAAAAAAGCTTAGCAAACATATCCGCTGATTATCCCCCCGTATGATTACAGCAGAATATGCCCAATCACCCTAAAACAACTCAGTAATGGTATCACTTACTTAGCAAGAGTATGGCTGCTTACTATCCGCTATGGTCATCGTCGTATCGTATACCTTGATACCCTCATAATATCGCTCATCACCCGCTATAATTTATAGTTTACCCCAATACCCAAGTGTCTTCATTGGGGCGCCTAGATTCTGCTTACTGGTTGGCCCCGGTTTCAGATCGCCAGGCCCCACCAAGTGGTTTCCAGGGGTTCAGAGTTTAGGGGTTTAGAGTTTAGAGTTTAGGGTTCAGGGTTTAGGGTTTAGGGTTTAGGGTTCAGAGTTTTGGGGATTTGGGGTTTGCGGCTGGGTTTAGGGTTTAGGGTGTTCGGTCGGACATTCGTCAGTCAATGTGAACCATGAGGAGTTCTGCCTGTAATATAGGGGCCTTAATAATTAGACTAGGGTTTTGGGGGGTATATATTATACCAAATTTCTAACAAGGAACCCCCGAAACCCTATTCTAGCTGTTAAGGCCCCTACATTAGGGTTTCGGGTAGGGCTCATGCAGCCAGGATCTGTCCGATCTCTGCGCGCACTTGACCATTTCTGCGGAGGCTGCTCCGCAAGAGCCCAGTGATGTCTCGTGAGCTGAGGCTTCCATTTTCGGACCAGCAGTGCAACGCAAAGGTTCAGGCTTAATTACTATAGGGGACGGAATATCTTAGACTGATAGTCCCCGTTTCAATCACACTAGAACATACTCCCAAACTCTTCCGCACAAAAACTCAGGATCCTCAATCAAGCGGCCGAGGGTCTATTGAAGCTTCTGTTGAAATTCAGTGGCTGGGTGCACTTGTATCATGTGTAACGGTTCGGATCGCTACGCCCTTGGCAAATGCCTGAAGAACAATATAGGTTTGCAGGGCTGTAGGGTTTTGGGGTTATAGGGTTTAGGGTTATATAGGCAAATCTGATATTTTGAACCCTTCATTTTTAAGCAGAAATTTCTATCATTGAAGAACCCTTACAGACCCTGATTATCCAGACCTTATAATCATAGATAGAACCCTTACAGACCCTAAACCCTAGACCATCAACCTTCGAAACAAACCCTTGTTATAGAACCGTTGCGCACCCGAAGCCCTAAACCCGAAAGCCACTAAACCAATATTCTTACGTATCTAGAACCCTAAAAGCCTTAAACCTCTCTAAACCCTAAACCCCTAAACCTCTCTACCATAACCCTAGAACCCTAAAGCCCCAAGCCCTAAACCCTGTCCAGGTGGGCGCCTCCTCCAAAGAGGCCGTGAACTCCATGCGCTCAGAGCTCCTCGACCTACCAGCGCGCCCCCCAGCGTCAGGCTTCTCCGGTCATTTTGAAAGGCGTCTCCTGTCGAGGGAGTTAGCCGTTAGCCTCACAGGCTTAGGGTTGCGGGTTTTGAGGGATTGGGCTTAAGGTTGAATTATAAATGGGCCGGGGCTTTAGAAGCCTTTGGGGGTGTAGGCTTTGGGGTTTAGGAGTGTAACGTTTATGATTTGTTTACGCTAACATTAATCCTACATCTTTCGACCGGATCTCAGCATCAGCTCTCTTAGATAATATGAAGGGCTGTCCGAGTAGTTGACTGGCTGGGTCCAGGGGTTAGGGGATGAAGGGCTTCCGTCCTCTTAAACCCTGATATAGGGGCCTAAATAATTACCAATACTATTTGGGTTTAGGGTTTAGGGTTTAGGGTTTAGGGTCAAGTCAAGTCAATACTATTTGGGGGGGTGTCCTTACTAAATTTCTAGTATAATGGGCCCCCAAAACCCTATTCTAACAATTCAGGCCCCCATATTAACTCCTAAGCTCTGTTCTTCTCAAAGTGTAGGGGTCGCGGGTGTTTGGGGGTTCGTGGGTTCGGAGCCGAGGTTCGGGTTCTGAAAACCCTACAGCCCTTGACCCTGTGTCTATACAGAGTGTAGGGTCCCAGGGTTTAGGGTATAAGCCTATAGCCCTATATCTCCTATAACCCTACATAACCCCATAACACTAAACCCTAGAGGCCTTAACCTTAAAACCCTTCAAGCCTGTAACCTGAAGCTGCTAAGCCAGACTCAGCCCAGGATCTTCTGGCAGTGCAGCCCTTTCCCTCCAGCATGAACATGGCCTCCCTCTCAGCCTGGGCTATCAGCAGAACCTGGACACTGGGACCCTGCGGGTTCAGAGCCTGGAATAGGGGTCTCGGGGGTTAGGGTTTAGGGGTTTAGGGGTTTATGTAGGATTTAGGAGTTAGGGTTTCGAGGTCCGGGGTTATGGTCGAGGGTTAGGTCCGTTGGTTGTTAGAATTGGGGTGTTTTAGGGCGTTGGCAACCCTATTATAATAAAGCCTAAGCCCTCACCCTGAACCCTAAACTCCAATAAGCCCTAAATTTTCACCCTGAACCTTAAACCGTGGTGCAGGGTTCGGGGGCAGATCATGGTCCAGTACAGCAAACCCCAGAAAGTGGGAACATGGGTTTCGGAGGACTAGGGCTAAAATCCCTTATGCTTTATATACCTTAAAGGCATGAGGCTAATGATGTTCCAACTTTCTGGCTTCTACTGTAGACTGTAGAGTCTAGTGGCTCAGATATGGGTAGCTATTTTCCAATTAGGGTCTTTTTTTCGGGCAGATAGACCGGCAGTTCTCTAGGATGTTCGGGTTCTTTAGATCCCCCCAAATAATACGGCACCCTTGTGACGGGACCCTTAATTTAGAGAGCTGCCCTTTTTGGAGTTTCTCACATCAAGGGTACACCGTTTCAACGGGGATGGCGATGTGTTTGAACCTTGGTTTCACTTTTTTCCTGGTTCCAACGCATTCCCTTGTCAGCCGAGTAGTTCAGAAAGGGCCATCATGATGAATCTTGAAACTGAGTTGGGATGAGGAATGTTCAGGTCAGCTTACACAGAAGGACACCATCTTCCTTCGCAGCTACATCTTGAAACATGTGATAGGTTGCTTTACTAGGTTGCCCAGCAGTACCCTTGTGCCCTTTTTCTTTTGGGTTCCTTTGTTAAAGCCGAGTAGTGGGAAAGAGGGTACCCTTATTATTGAGGGACTGCTGGGGAACCAAGTTTAACTTGACTGCTGAGTTGGCCCTAAACCCTAAACCCTAAACCCTATGGTTTAGGGTTTAGGCTTAGAGTTTAGGGTTTAGGGCTAAACCCTATAAACCCTAAACCCATGCAAATGCAAAGGTCGGTTGGTTGTCCGGCACGTCCACAGTGGGAACACAGGCCGCTGGTACAGCCCTGGAAACTAAAAAACCCTAAACCCTCAACCCCAAACCCTAAGCCCCAAAAGCTAAACCCCAAACCCTAAACCCTATACTAAGCCCCCAAACCTTAAACCCCAAACCCGAAACCTAAAGTCCCAAACCCTATACTTTAACCCTGTCCATCCGAGGCTGTCGGTCCTTCTGAGATCTTGGGTTGCGGAACCCCGAGCCCTAAACCCTGAACCCTAGACCGTAAACTCTGAACCCTAGAGCCTAAACCCTGAACCCTAAACCCTAAACCCTAAACCGGAAGTCAGTCACTGCAGCATGTTACGGCAGTTCCGTCTCCGACATCAGTTACAGCAACCAGCTGGGCTGAGTTCCATGAGGTTTCTTTGGGACTGTCGGAGGCGACACCATGATGCTAACCTGAATGTGGGAGTTTCCGAAAATTGGGGTATCCTATTTTGGGGGTTCTTATAATATGGATCCTATTCTTTAGGGTACTGTACTAGGGTTCCCTATTTCGGAAACCCCCCATGTTGGAATTATCAGTAATAGCATGCCTTATAGCGCCTATATGATGGTGCTTCTCTAGACTACACCCCCCATGCAAGCTGTATTCTAAGTTCTTAATACTTAAGGCCCTCATAAGCCCTTTAACACCCTGTAAAAAGCCGCCAACAAGCCCTTTTTTGTTTATGAAGGCCCCCTGTCTTCAAGCTTTTGCCTTCAACTCTGGGCCTAAGTCGAACAGACGTTGGTATTGCGATGAATACGGAGCGATGGCAGCAGGCGGTTTAGGGTTCAGGGCTCCGGGTGCAGGGCTTAGGGCTTGGGGGGTTGGGGTTCAGGCTAAGGGTGTCGCGTTTAAGGTTCCATTAGCAACACGTGCGACTCAGGAGAGCAAATTGTAAACGGCTGATAGCAATGACGGCAACCTTAACAAGAGCACTCGTGAAACACAGCAGCAATCCTAGAGATGCGACACGGGCAGGCGGCCACTTTATCAATCCATGGCTTTGCCACTCTGCTTGCTCCCACACAATCAGACTAAGAAGATTACTATATTATATTATACAGCCAGTTTATCTTAGTTCTTGCATAGTGTATTATGTTATTTATTGTGCCTGTGATTAGTGTACAGGCTACTTCAGAAACCCCATCCTGTAATCCGTTTGAGTCCAAGGCAAGACATCAGTCCTCTGTCTCCATAAGGACAGCAGCTTAGGTTTCAAGTGCGGGAGATCCCCAAGTCCTGAAGGCCCTAAACCCTAAACCCTACAAATCTAAAACCCCAAGACCCTGTTAACCCAACCCCTAAACCCTACAAACTTATACGAACGAAACCATTTTTGGGGGGATCTGGCCGTAGCCCCAAACCATGCCGGAGCTTGCTGCTTCTCCGTCTTTCAGGTTCATAGGCTCTGCCATGTAGCAGGCGCAGAGTGACATGGTGCTGCAGGGCCCTTCTGCAACCTTCCGGAGCCCCCCATAGAAGCTTTGTGGACTCTCACAGAACCCCACAGCCTCAACCCCAAACCGCAGGTGTACAGGTTCAAAGAAGACATCAACAAGGCCAAGCTCAAACTCGACGAAAAGGTGGGTGTGAGACGGAAGGGTCAGGGCTGAGGGTTGGGGTTTAGGGCTTATAGGGCTTAGGGCTTTGCGTTTTAGAGTTTAGGGTTTCGGGCTTGGGGTGTATGGGGTGCAGGGCTGCGGGCTTATCCGGTTTAAGGGTCGGGTTTAGCACCTGAGGGTTAGGGTTGAGGGCTTAAGGTTTAGAAAAGCATGAGCCCCCAAGCGACGGCTTGCGATGAGGAATTGGTGTGTGTGTGTGTGTCATACTACGATCATACATTGTAAGGTGCATGTGGTGGTATCAGAAGATTAGGGGTCCCTGCGGCTTAGTCGTCCTTATAGCAAGCATCTGTTTTTGCAGAACTATTTCCCTCTTGCCGTGGCTTGTGCGTTTCTTCATTCTGCTCATGGTCTGCCAGCAGTTTGTGTTTTTGTTTATCTCTTTCAGGCTTGCTTGGCCCCTTGCCAACAAAAGGACCTTGCTGTCGCATGCTGTCGCCTTCTGGGCGGATAAGTCAGAGAGGCGCATACTGGTGATCCAATTGCCGGTGAGTCTCCTACCTGCTCCTTCGTCATGGACGTGCACGAGTGGTTCGAGAAGCGGCAAGATTGCTTCCACCCACAGCCACATTAAATTTACGTCAGCAACAACAACCACATCCAGAACCGGTTCCGCGCTCTGGATGGATCGCTGCTGTTGCGAGGCCCTGAGCCCGAGCCCCACTTGCATCCCGTGTTCCCCATCAGGAAGACAGTGGACACAGTTAAAGTTTTGGAACTGACCCGCAGCAGCTCGCTGCGCAGCAGCTGGCTGCGTAGCAACTCGCTGCGCAGCAGCTGGCTGCGAAGAAGGCAGTATGCTCCTGACGTTCAAGGATGCGCGGCAGCTGGTAGAATGCCGTTTGCAGCATTTGATGGAGATCTTCGTGAACCTGACAGATGACACCGAGCAGCCTCTGAAGGACATGAGCCTGCCTGAAGCTTTGAACACCCTTGCATCACTTTCAAGAAAGCATGCTGAACTCAGATCAGCGCGCCTCAATGCTTACCAGGAACCTCAAGAGCTTGTCAGCCGTCTCGTTTTCCAACGTGCTCCTAAAATCTTTCGGAGGGGAAGGGGTCACTCGTTAGAATCACTCGAGAACTGAACGGCGTCCCTTTGGGATACTATTCCACTCTCCTGCACGGCTGGGACCTGGACTGTGCCCAGGTCGCAGAGGCTCTGCTCTGGGACCCATAAGTAGTTTTGCAAAGGAGCACAAAGTATGGCGACCACCCCTATCATAATCGGATCGGCACACAGGCTATGTGAGCGTGCCAGCGATGTTAGCGGACAGCATGTTTGGTTCCGATCCCAGTGAAAGACAGATCTACCTTACGAATGGTTGCAGGGGGCGGAGGGGGCTAAATGATTCCGTTTTCTCACGTGAGGATGATGGCGCGCAAATGAGAGCGACCAGGAGCGAGAGCGAGAGAGGGACCAGCTAGCCCCAATTAACCTTCGAGGGCCGAAGTTGCCGTGTTACATGGTTTGGTGTGAACAGGGTTGTGGAAGTAGAGTTTTCCCGGTTTAGGCAGTGCACAAATGCGGCTTTATGGCCCGCTCTGATGTTCTATGGGCTTCAAGTTGTCAGGCCTCCAACTCCACCCAGGTGCAAGTAGCAGCCGGAGCTTTCTACTATGATTATGATTTTGATGAAGAGGAAACAGGGGCTAACAAGGGTGGCTGGCGCTCAGCCTGCAAAGTTGGTCGTGCAAAATGAAATACCACATGCTGTTTGGCCGCTGCAGCGCTGGGTTTTGATTTGTGTTCCTTGGAGCTGGACGACAATGCATAATGCCACGCGGTGCGCATCCCACCACTTTGACTTCCGTGTCATGCAGTCCTTCACAACAGAGGACAGCACCGTCAGGAAGGTAGGGGTGTCGACGATGGCACTGGCAGCAGTGTCATCGCGCAAACCCATCACGGCGCAGGTGCTTTCTCCACGACCCGACGCAACCGTCCCATCACTGCACTTTTTTGTGATCCTCGTATGTTTGTGTTGATCCTTGGTTTTTTTTTGCTTGACTCTTCTATGGTGCTTGGCTCTACCCAGCTTTCTCGCGGATACATGACAGCAGCAGCCCTACCTGATCACCACATCACACAGTGTAAGCAGCCCTTGCAATTAAGTCACGGGTGACAGTGAAGGTGGTGCTGATGATGATGACGACGATGATGGTAGTGATGATGATGATGATGGTGATGACGAATCTTGATACAAAGGATGTTTTTTAATTATGGGCATGATGAAAATCAGTTGACACACACACACACAAACATGACGATGGTGACGATGTTGAGGATGAGGACGATGATGGTGATTGTGCTGTTGATGATGATGATGATGGTGATGATGATGTTGATGATGCTGATGGTGCTGGTGCTGCTGATGATGATGATGATAAACGCTATGTTATTGGTTGGGTGGTTCTACTTGTGATGACGAGGGTGGTCAGGACTCTGACGATGATGCTAGCGATGATGGGGTTGACGGTGACAGTGATGACAACGGTGTTAAATGATGCTGTCAGCACTTGGCAGCATGCCGAGGATAAGGAGGTGACGAAAGCACTAGAAGAATAGATGCTAACGCTGGTCACGATCGGGACTTGGACGGCGCCTTGGATGTCTTCGGGTCATGCCGACATGCAGCTGACGCGATCTGGAGGCGGTGCTGCGCATCGTAAGCGAGCCTGCAGACCTTTCCAACGCAGATGCAGGGAGCCCGGGCTAGGAGTCTTTTCAAGCGGTGTCTATATAGCTGTTGCAGTCTCCACATAGCTGCTGAAAAATTTGATTTGCTAACAACTGCTGGCGAGTGCACTTTAGGCTGCGGGCTTCAGCAGGTCAGGGTGTGCAGCAGAGATTTTGAGCGGGGTTTGTGCACTCTTGGAAGTGGGATGTTGGAAGATGGGAGCGTTCTTGCCGTGTCCTCGTGAAGGAAGCGGAGTGAGCCACATTTGCTACCCAGTTGAGTGTGACCGTAAATGAACGAGTTGAAAGGGTTGAAGTTTGCAGCATCGGCCAGGAGAGATGGAAGTTTAGTCGAGTCGAGTGGCGCTTATATACAATGCGAAGATTCAATTGTCCGAGAACCCTGAAACTGAACAGTCGTCGACGGATACGGCCGCTTAGGGTAGTTTAGGATCCCCGATTTCTCGAAATTGTCCAAGCACCGGGAGTATCGGTCAGAATTCTACAGCGGCTGTAGGGGTTTAGGGCTACGGGATTCCGACGTGCAACAGGAACAGAAACTCGGCCCACCGCAAGTTGAGAAAATTGTTTTTGAAGATGCATGTTTTCCGGACCATGCTGCCTGAGTGCGTCCATGCTTATTACCTTTTTCTGCTGCTTCGTCAGATCAGCGTTTCCCTGGAGCAGAACGGCAAGAAGTTGGCAACGCTTGAAGCCCAGGGGGTTTGGGCAGTGACATTCATACTTCTTTTGTGACCTGTATGTAGCATCCTGAATGCACATTGATCTCCGAGCCACCTCTACCGGCAGCGACTGGTATTTGCGAAGTCTGGGGTTTAGGGCCCTTGGGGAGCAGGGTTGAGGACGTCGGTGGTTTAGGGTAAATAGGGTCTATCCAGTGTTCTGAGTCCGCTAATCAGGAGTTAACGTTTCGGGCTCAGCGGAGCTTCCATATAGGATGCATGGAATGTGGTGTGAAATTGGATTTGTGTGAACCCAATACCAAAGCCGACATGCAAGAGCTGCCATGAAAGCCTGACCCCGGCGATATTGCCATAAAACCTCGGCCGCGCAGCCTTCAACCGCAAACGTTCAAAACCCTGAAGCCCCAAACCCTGATCAAGCCCAAGCCAGACACTCCCTAGGCCTATAACTCTAAACCCTAAAACGTAAACCCTAAACCCTAAACACTAAAACCTAAACCCTAAAAACTAAACCTTAAACCCTAAACCTACACCCTAAACCCTGGCCCCTAAACCCTATAACCCTATATAGCCCTATAGCCCTAAACCTCACAATCCCCGAGATCCGATCAGCTGGGTCAGCTCGTGGCGGAATTGGACCAGGGCAGCTACGTTGCTGGGCTTTTCTGGCAGCTTTATATTATATAAACAATATCTATTTTACGATGTATGCTCTATAGTGTAAAAAATAGTCATAATGTGTTATATTTTACAGTATGTATACATATCTATATGGTTATGGTACATATTATATACTAGTTTCTATCTGTTCTAGTTCAGCCTTGGCACTCAAGGATGTGGGCATTTTCTGTAAACCCGAAAACTCCCAGGCCTTTCCTGGACACACCCAGAAGAGTGCATTGCTTCTCGGCACTGATTAGCCGAGGATCTGTCGTTGGCTCCGAAAGTCAGCGCCCAAGCGACGGAAAAGAGTAGACAAGGGTTTTGGCGTAGATTATGGCGGTGATAGAAGAGACTGCCAGAAGAGGATGCAGATTATTTTGGGCTCTATGTTACCGTCACCATCATCACTGTCCCCGACATCATGGTCAGGACCATCATTGTCCTCTCTCCTCCTCGTCCTCCTGCTCGTCCTGGTCCTCCTCCTGCTCCCTTCCCCTTTCCCCTGAAGAGTTCCTGCTGCCGCCATCTACATTTCCAAGCAGCAGCAATGGCAACAAGGCAAATCCAAGTCCACGTCCCCCCAGGGCTATACGAATACCCTACGCTTTAAGGGTCTTCAAACAAGACTATCAAGAAGTGTGCACATCTGCCATAGCGAGATAAGATTCCTGGCACTTGCCACTGGATGTTTCTTTAGCTAAACAACCTTGTTACATTGAGCTTGGCTTGCATCGCGGCCAATATGCCCCACTCTAAATCCTCGACTCTTGTTTCTGCAGTATGGCGATTTACAGCTTACTTACTTGTGAGTAAATCAGTTCCATAAACCCTAAACCTTCTGCCAAATCCCCAGCCTTTCAATGCCCAAAACTCTGTGATTAAAGGGGACCTTCTGGGAAACCTTAACGGTTTAG